GCAGGTGGGATCGCGAGCAAGGCCTCTCCAGATGATCAAAGAGATCGTGTGGGTTCGTAAACAGAGATGCGGTCACGGAGCTCTGATGTGGGCTGGCCCATGAGGTCACAAAAAGTTGGAAGCGACTAAATGAATAAACAACAACAACAAAAATATAATCCAGTTTCTGAATCCAGATTATCTGCTTTGAACTGAATTATATGAGTCTGCACTGCCATATAATCCAGTTCAAAGCAGATAATCTGGATTCAGAAACTGGATTATATGCCAGTGCAGAAGGGGCCTGAGGTATACCTGCACTCAGAAAGTTAACTTATTTTCAGAGAGATAGAAGAGACAACTTGCAAATGGTCATGTGGACCTGTAATCACAGCTCAAAAAAAAGCAACCTTTTAAGATTACAACTCTTTTGTAATTTTTCTAGCCTCTCCTTCTATGTATCAGAATCAACAAAGATAGCAGTGACACATTAAAGTGTACCTGATTTGTTGTGGCAGGCTCAACTGTAGACTAGAAACTACAACTATCACCTCTTTCGTAACTCCTTTGCTCCAATTGCTTTTCCAGCCTCTTGTTCTGCTACATCACATCAACAAAGATACCGGCGGCATATTAAAGATTACCTGATTTATTGTGGCAGAATCTATTATAAACTAGAAACCATGCCAGGAGATGCATAAAGGGTTACATTTAGTCAGCAGAGGTAATATATTTCCCATACTCATATGCACACAGACACACCAGGGGCAGGGAACAAGCAGCAAGGCCATGAAATGAAAGAGTCGCTCCATGGCTCCCCGCAGGTGGAAGCTGCAGTAAAGCATAGAACGGTAGTAGTTTGGTGGAGATGGAGAAAAGAAATATTTGTTGGATGGAGTGGCATAGTAGAGCCACGGCTGCAGGGGAGAAACACAATGAAGTTTTGGGGCAGCAGGAACAACTACATTATCTGCCACTTCTTTCTGACTTCCCTGTTTCCTCTGATTCCAGATACAGTTGGAGCAAAAAATAGATTACCACCCACACCATCCCATCTGTAATATAGTTATGAACTATCTCTGTTGTAATGCAAATAACTTTGGTGCATTCTCTTAAAGGGGCAATTAAGACCCACGTGGTTTACAAAAGATATGCTCGTCATGCAAATTGCTAAATTTGTTCATTTTTCTTGGATCAACACAGCTGCTTGCATTTGTAAACTCTCTTTGGAGGCATGGCTCCATATACTACATTGCCTCCTTAGCTACGGATGTGTAACTAAGGGAAATTTCCTTGCCCACCCTCTACTTTTCCAAGTAGCAGCTGCACTGAGAAATGGGGGTCTGTTGGGTTGGTGGTTGAGGTGCAGCTGAAGGATGTTTCCACCCCACAGCTGCAAGGGAGCAAGGCTCTGGAAAGGGATTGCAACAGGGAAATGGCTTCGGTTTGCTGCAACCCGATTCACTGGTGAAAAAAGAGTGTTCGGTGTTATCTTCATGCACTCCATGAACAGACCTCCATGCTGCTACTGCCTGTTAAAGTACCCATATTTACTCAAGTTTAATGCATTCGGTTAAACTGCTGAGCTGCTGAGCTGGCTGACTGAAACTTTGGTGGTTTGAAACTGGGGAATGGGGTGAGCTCCTGCTGTTAGCCCCAGCTTCTGCCAACCAAGCAGTTTGAAAACATACAAATGTGAGTAGGTCAATAGGTATGACTCCAGTGGGAAGGTAACGGTGCTCCATGCAGTCATGCTGGCCACATGACCTTGGAGGTGTCTACGGACAACGTCAGCTCTTAGGTTTAGAAATGGAGATTAGAACCACCCCCCAGAGTCGGACACGACTAAACTAAATGTCAAGGGGAAATCTTTACCTTAATGCATCATTGAATCTAATGTGCACCTCGTTTTCAAAACCCTGAAACCAAACAAAGTATTTGCTGCTGAATTTAATGTGCACCTCGTTTTTCAAAACCCTGAAACCAAACAAAGTATTTGCTGCTGAATGTAATGCACAGCGGCAAAAAGTGCACTCTTCGTAATTTGGCCAAAAAAGGTACGCATTACAATGGCTGCATGCTTAGAACACCATAACTTCCAGCGATGGAAAAGAAAACCTTGGGGTGCATTTGTGCTGTAGAATAAATCCACTTCACCTCCTCCTGGCTCAATGCTATGGAGTCATGGGGTATAGTTTTGAATAGTATTGAGCCTTATCTGCCAAAGAATGCTGTTGCCTCACCAAACTACAATACATAATAAACGTCTTACTCAACTGCTGGATATTAGGCCTGGGCGGTTTCGTTCGTTAATTTTGTAATTCGTTAAATATTCGTTATTTTTAACAATTACAAAACGATTACAAAACATATTTTCAAACCCGGAAGTGTTTTTAAATATCGAAACGGCATCCTCCATCTTTTTTACGGGCTTCCGCCCGTTTTGGAAATGACGTTTTAGGGATGGAGGATGCTGGGTGCGCCGGGAGCCAATCCGGCGCTCCCAAGCACCATGGCTCATTGTTATTGGGCGGGCTGCCCTTTAAAAGCGGCTCCGCGTGGCCGCATTGCTCATTGCGAAGGAGACGGGAGGTGCGGGAGGGAGGCTTGATGGTTGGCTCTTGGCTGCTTGCTTGCATTCATTCATTCATTCATTCATTGCTTGTGCTTGCATTCATTCATTCATTCATTGCTGGGAGCAGCGGGGAGGCTTTGCCCTGTTTTCGCCCCACAACAGGGTAGGGCAAGCATTTTGTTAATTTTCCATTTTTAAATATTTCTGAAAAATATCTTTTTCTTTTATTCTTCAAAAAATTCAAAAAATATTCTAAAAAAAGAAAAGACCCTTGTGTGCCTGTGTGTGTGAGTTTGTCCCTGTCCTGTGGCTGTGTTCGCTCCACAACAGGGCAAGCATTGTTAATTTTCCATTTTTAAATATTTCAAAAAATATTTATAAATAAATATTTCAAAAAAATCAAAAAATATTCTAAAAAAAGAAAAGACCCTTGTGTGCCTGTGTGTGTGAGTTTGTCCCTGTCCTGTGGCTGTGTTCGCTCCACAACAGGGCAAGCATTGTTAATTTTCCATTTTTAAATATTTCAAAAAATATTTATAAATAAATATTTCAAAAAAATTCAAAAAATATTCTAAAAACGAAATTAACGAAATTAACGAAATTTCGTAAATACTGAACTTTTTCAAAGGAAAATTTTGTAATTATTTTAAATATCGAAACGCAAAAACCCCCCAAATACAAATCGATTTTAGAAACAAATTTTTGCGTTGTTACCCAGGCCTACTGGATATGCCTGCCTTGTCTGGCATAAATCTGCCCACGTGAAGCAGGTGAATATAGCCCTATATGAGACATGTAGAATCATCACAGGATGTCTTATACCTACACCTGTTGATAGACTCTATAAGCTAGCTGGCATTGCCTCCTCCCCCCCCTCCCCCCAATGTGTGCAATGGGAAGTTACGAGAAAAATAAAGTTGAACACTGTGAAAGCCACCCACTTCATGGCTATCAGCCTCCTCCCAGTAGACTTAAATCAAGGGAAAGTTTCATGAGAACCACCACTCCACTAAATGTTCCTCCAACAACAGCACGAATATCCCTGTGGGCAGCAAAATCATGCAATTCTAAGTGGATGGCCCCCTACAAGGGTCTGCCTCCAGGGACAAACCAAGAATGGGCAACTTGGAAGTCCCTGAACAGACACAGAAGTGGAACTGGAATATCAAAAGACAACCTGACAAAATGGCACTACCTAGAAGAATCCTTCATTTTGTGTGACTGTGGAGCAGAACAAACAAATCAGCACCTGTATGCTTGCCCACAATGCCCTGCCTCATGCACAGAGGAATAATTGTTTAAAGCTACAGACAATGCAGTCACTGTTGCCCATTTTTGGTCTAATACTATAGCAGCAAAGGCAAAGGTTTTCACCTGACATTAGGTCCAGTTGTGTCTGACTCTGGGGGTTGGTGCTCATCTCCATTTCTAAGCTGAAGAGCCAGCATTGTCCATGGACACCTCCAAGGTCATGTGGCTGTCATCACTGCATGGAGCGCCGTTACCTCCCCATCCTAGTGGTACCTATTGATCTACTCATACTTGCATTTTTTCAACCTGCAAGGTTGGCAGAAGCTCACCCCGCTCCCTGAATTCAAACTGCTGACCTTTAACCCGCTGTGCTACCAGGGGCTCCTACTCTTGTGATCCCTTTATTTTATCAGTTTTAAATAAACTATTTTATGCAATGCTTTTGGCATGAAATAAATAAACCAAACTACAAATCCCAGGATTGCATTGCATTGCATTGAGCCATGGTCATTAAATTAGAGTGGCATCACTCAAAGAGGAGCTCCAGGTGCTCCTGGAGCAGCTTCCCCTTTTAATTTGGCTCAGCATCAAGATTACCATATTACAGGAATCTAATGTGTACCCTAATTTTGACAAGGCAATTTAGCCAAAAAGGGCAAGCATTATTTGAGTAACTAGGGTAGGCTTGAGGGGGCGTTTACAAGCATGGCAGTGGTGAAGACAGAGAGGTCACAGATCTGTAACTCTAAATTAGGTAAAGGTAAATTTTTCCCCTGACATTAAGTCCAGTCATGCCCAACTCTGGAGGTTGGTGCTCATCTCCATTTCTAAGCCAAAGAGCCGGTGTTGTCCATAGACACCTCCAAGGTCATATGACCAGCATGACTGCATGGAGTTCTGTTAACTTTCCGCTGGAGCGGTACCTATTGATCTACTCACATATGCATGTTTTCAAATTGCTAGGTTGACAGAAGCTGGGGCTAACAACAGGAGCTCACTCTAGATTACAGATCTGTAACTGCAGAACAGAATAGCAACAATGGTTGTGTGTTTCCCAGTGAAGTAAACCACATGGCCAGAATAGCAACAACGGTTGCGCGTTTCCCAGTGAAGTAAACCACAAGAAGAGTACTTTTCATGCAGTCTTAACATTCCCAAACATCAGTCTTCCTATTTATCATATGTCAAACCCTACCTGATACGAAAGCTTTGTTGAAGCCCTCCATCAAAGCCTGGGGTCCATTCCAGGGCCAGCCAATTGTGGGAAACCCCAATGACCTTCAACTCTGTGGGTGGGTCAGGGCGACCTGATGAGAAAAAGCAGGAACAAAAAGAGCTGAAAATAGGAAAGTGCTCTATTACCCCTCATATTCTAACGTTATGTATCCAGGCATTTGCGGAACATTGTCCCTTACTGGTACTAAGTAGCTGGATGTCAAGAGTATCTGTGCCAAGTTCGTTGCTGGCTGTGCAGGTGAAGGTGGCGTAGTCATGAACCGCGCTCACATTGGCAATGGTTAAGGTGCTGGTATGCAAGGAACCCACATGGCTCGTAACCACAGTATGCCTAGGAGCGAGAGGAAAACATAATATGTTTAAATATAAGAAGGACTGGGTCAGACAGACATTATCCTACATTTTTTCCAAAATCTTATTTATTTAGTTCAAAGAAATCTGTACCAGGGATTCAAATGGTTTCATAACAGGATGAAAACAAAGGTATAGTAAAAATGAGTAGAGTGGGGATGGAAGGATGAGAGTCAGTGTAGTGTAGCAGTTTAAATGCTCAACTCCAACTCCTAGAGACCAGGATTCAAATCCCACAAGGTGACCTTGGGGAAGTTGTTATCTCCCAACCAAAGGGAAGGTAATTGCAACCCTAATCTGAAGAAACCTTGCGAAGAAATCTATAGGATACTAGCTGTACCTGCCATGCGTTGCTGTGGCGAACCTTCCCTCCCTCTTTCTCTCCTTCCTTCCTTCCTTCCTTCCTTCCTTCCTTCCTTCCTTCCTTCCTTCTCTTCCTCTTCCCTTCCTTCCCCCTCCTTTTCTTTCCCTTCCTCTTTCTCCCCTTTCTTCCTTCTCTACCTATTCTTGGACCCCAAGCAGTCCTAATCGATCTATCTACCTAACTATCTCTATCTAATCTGTCTATCTGGAGGATTGCTAGGATTTGCAGTCCAGGAAATTGGAAATATGCAGGGATTGGGATGTTCTCAAAGAAATCCAAGGAGAAGAAATCTTGCATCTTGGAAGCAGTGCATTTGGATCATCCTTCTCTCCTAAAGGATTTGGTCTAGGGGATACTGGGAGCTGTAGTCCGAAAGAGTGTGTGGATATGCTGTTGTGTGTTTTGTTTGCCAGGGGGAGTTGTTTTTGCACATGTGCTGTAGCGTCTTTTTGCTTTTTTGGCCCTTAAAGTCGCTTACACTGTGTTTTTCAGTATTTTTTATGAGTGATGGTCACTCGTTGGCCTGATAGGTGTATTGTGTCTACATTTAGAGTCAATTTCTCCAGTGGTTTTTGAGTAATGTTAATCCCAGAAATGAACTTTCCTGGACTGCAACTCCCAGCAACCCTCCAGATAGATAGATAGATATGAGATAGGTAGGTAGATAAATTGATCCGGACGACTACTGGGAGTTGCAGTCCAAGATTAGGTAAAGAAGGAAGACAGGGGGAAAAGAGGAAGGGAAAGAAAAGGGGGGAAAGGGAAGAGGAAGAGAAGGAAGGAGAGAATGAAAGAAAAAGAGAAGGAAGGAAGGAAGGAAGGAAGGAAGGAAGGAAGGAAGGAAGGAAGGAAGGAAGGAGAGAAAGAAATGAGGAGAGAAAGAGAGAGGGAAGGTTGACCACAGCAACCTATGGTGGGTACAGCTAGTGAGTTCATGAGAAGAGAGGTGGGAGATCAACATGAAGCTTAATAACACTACTGCTAGTCCTATCATTCACTGGTCATATTGAAAGGGGATTCCACAACTGCAGTCCAAAATGACAACTTTTTCAAGCTTTAAATAAATGAATCTAATAAGCAAATATGAATGCATACAGACTCACTAAGCAGCAAAAAAGAACCCAAGGACTGCTTTAAGGGTTAAGAATGTGAGCCACTGAAATGAAACAGTTCATTTAAAAAAACAAACACCAAGGTTACAGTTAAGTGTCCTGGATATTTTTATTCCATACATGCCTCCTACTATTTATGGGTTAGGGCTGACATTTAGCTGGAACAAATTAGACACATTAAATTGCCCCACCTCCATTCTATTTGCAAATCAACACAAGAACATGTTTTTAAAAAAATGTTCCCAGTTCAAAACTGAACTGAGTCCAGATACGTTTCTAACAGTTTGACTGAACGTTTACTAAGATAAGTCTTCAATTCTGCTAGTCACAAACCAAATTCAGAACAGAACCAAATATTTAACCCTTTTTTGTTCTAGGGTTTGCTCTCATTATCCTAAGGGCAGATCTACACAGACACTGGAATCCAATTCAAAGTCGCCAAAATATATACCCCAATATGAGCTGTACACAGATTAAGCTAGAAACAGTGCATTTTAAAAAAAACCAGCAAATACTGTGGCCACTATCCCAGCCTCAAACCACCCTCCTGGGGTGTCTGTGTAGGTACTGCTTTATTTTAATCTACTTCCAAACTGGATTATAGTGTCTGTGTAGAAGATAAGTTTAAATAAAGCTCTATCGGCATTACAAAAATAGAAGCTTTTTCGAATTATACTCCAAAAAAAAGAGGCTGGCGCTACCAAACAGATGGAGGGAGTCTTTTTCGTTGCATGCTCTTACCTGGGGCTGTCAGGGTCCAAGGAAACTCCATTCTTGGCCCAGCTGAACTGCACCTTCGGGACACCCTGAGCGCTGCACTGGAGCACAGCTTGGCTTTTCCCATCCCCTGTAGCTGCCACTTTTCTCTGACCGGGGCCCTTGATGATCTCTGGTGGATCTGGAAAGAACAAGGGAGGATGATACCCTGAGAAGATCTGCTGCATACATATAGGCAGAAGTGGTAAGTGGATGGAATAGCTGCCAAGAGTTTTGCTGAAAATGGAGAAACAGTAAACCACGGTCTTGGTTTGGTTTTGAATTTCAGCAGACTTTCCCAACACCCTACCAAAACCCCCACAGTTTATCTCTCAAATCTGTCTCCAAAAATCCAGATGGATTTACCAAAATGCTATTGAAAGATACCCATGCTTATACTTATGTGTAGGGCTAGTATTATGCTCCTTTATTATCTAAAAACATTAGAGACAGATTATATAATCCACATCCTGGCATTATCTGAGGTGTGCTTGATAAATATGTGGAACAGGGCCTCCTTGATGTTGACCCCAAGGCTCTAGAGCTCTTAGCCTCAGGAAACATGTTTAGTTCTTGTGTCCCACACATCGGAAATATGTCAAAAACTGTTTTGTGGAGACACTAGAAGTGTGCAAAACAAATGGGAATTTATCGTAACTCGTATCTTTCTTGGATGTTTCTGACTTACGACACATATTCTGATGCGCCTGCATGGTGCACACCAAAACATTAAGAAACTGAAGATTTTGATGGCTTTGAGTTTTAGTTTCAATTCCTTTGGAAGTCCTGTGACACAATTAAAATTCACAGGACAACCAAGCCCTGCTGAGAGGCAAAGCCAAACCTGTTGGCATGCCTCTCAGCTAATCTGGGCTGATGATGGGGGGAGAGGTGGAGCTGCTACCATGTTGCCTCTAAATTGCAGAGCGCACGCCAGAGATGCCATTCGCACTCACACTCTGGAAGGGAAGGGATCAAGGGTGGATGGTTGCGAGCTCTGGCAGGCAGGCAAAGAGAAGACAATTAAGACAGACATTGAAGGAAGGGAGAAAGAAAGAAGGCAAGCACCAAGAAGAAGAAAGAAAGTTGTAGTCACATCATTTTATGCTATTGCTCCCTCAACATTCTTGTCCTGGGAGTTCTTCCCCCCCCCCACCCCCCATGAAGGTTTGTTTATTTCTCTGTCTCTCTATGAGTTCTTCCTTACAAACAGTTCTGCCCCTTTATCTCACCCTGAGTTTTTAAATAATTTTATGTACATGCAGCTCGCTCTGTGTCATTATGTTTGGTTTCTAAGTTTTGTGCATATTGTTCATATGCTTTGATGTTTTATACTTTATTGTTATGTTGTTTATTTTATTGCAATTTGTATTTTTGTATTGTAATTTGTTGTTACATGGACTTGGCCCCATGTAAGCCGCTACGAGTCCCCGTTGGGGGAGATGGTGGTGGGGTATAAATAAAGATTATTATTATTATTATTATTATTATTATTATTATTATTATTGTGGATTGATTGATTTATCTGTGCACTAGGCAGCACGACATGTGCTGGCAGGCTGCCGGGTTTTGAATTATGGCTGGTGTCTAGCTATACCAGCACACTGAAATTATTTTTAATTTGAATTTAATTTTTATATCTCAAACTCAGTATTCCATCAGCAAGCCAAGTCAAAAAGATTATTATAAATAAAAGATTGCAGAATAGTTGGTCTCAAAGTCAAGCAAGTCCTTGCCAAACCAAAAAGTTATTGATTATTGATAATAATATTGGAAAAAATATTTCCCAGTAGATGTATGGATATTTATGAAAACTGGGGGGGGGGGGGGGGGGGGGGGTGATTCCCTGTTACCTATTGTCATTGTATAGAAAATTCAAGGAGATAGTTCTTGTATTTTTTTGAAAATTCCCTAAACATTAGTAGATAAGCAAAACATTCTTGGTAGGCGAAGAGTGGTGAATGTGTTCTACTACTGTAGCAAATTTCATCATGATAGCTCTAAAAGTGAGGGAGAGAAAAACCCTTGAATTTTCCTGAATGACAGTAATTAATGCGCATAGAAGCCTCAGTAGGTTAAACCCTTGTGCCGGCAGGACTGGAGACCAACAGGCTGCAGGTTCAAATCCGGGGAGAGTGCGGATGAGCTCCCTCTGTCAGGGGACATGAGAGAAGCCTCCCACAAAGGATGGTAAAACATCAAACATGCTGGCATCCCCTGGACAACGTCTTTGCAGATGGCCAATTCTCTCACACCAGAAGCAACTTGCAGTTTCTCAAGTCGCTCCTGACATTAAAAAATATATATATTAATGTGCATGCGCAATTACTATTAACAAAATCGTAATGAAATTTCATTAGTTTCATTTTAGTAATGGAATTTTCACCAGTCACACATTTGAAACACTTTAGAAATAAAGCGCCTGAGCCCCCCAGTTTTGTAAGTACTTTTGAACCATTTTTTTAATCGATGGCACATGCCTAGGAGACACACCTGTCCCCTCTGCTGCTACTATTATTCCTAACAACTGGGCTGTTTGTTTTAAATTGATTTCACTGCTGCTGTTATGTGTATTAGGTTACTTGGGAGCTATTCTGAGGAGGCCACATGGGGCTGACAAAATAAACAAACAGATAAAGCCCCATCAAAAGAAAAGACACAACCAAAGCAAAGAGAAATAGTTATTCCATCACATGAAGAATGGCTGATGAACTAGCTGAGATGTACAAACTGACTACGCTGATCAAGGAGAAATTGTTTGGGACCTGTTTATTACATTTTCACAACAACTATGGGGGCAATTGTCAATTGTAGAATTTATGAATTAGAAGAATATATCCAAACAGAAATAGGGTCATATACTATAATTTAAAGGAAGCAGAATGATCTATATAAATAAAAATGTAATGTTCGTTTGTGGGATTAACATAACTCAAAAGCCAAGGGACAAATTTCCACCAAATTTGGCCACAAGACGCCTACTAACCCAAGGAGTGACCATCATTCAAAAAATATTTTGTCATTTGGGAGTTGTAGTTGCTGGGATTTATAGTTAAACTACAATCAAAGAGCATTCTGAACTCCACCAATGATGGAATTGAACCAAACTTGGCACACAGAACTCCCATGACCAACAGAAAACACTAGAAGGGTTTGGTGGGCATTGACCTTGAGTTTGGAGTTGTAGTTCACCTACATCCAGAGAGCACTGTGGACTCAAACAATGATGGATCTGGATCAAATTTGGCACAAATATTCCATATGCCCAAATATGAATACAGATGGAGTTTGGGGAAAATAGATCTTGACATTTGGGAGTTGTAGTTACTGGGATTTATAATTCACCTACAATCAAAGAGCATTCTGAACCCCACCAACGACAGAATTGGGGCAAACTTCCCACACAGAACCCCATGACCAACAGAAAATACTTAAGGCCATCCAGTCCAACTCCCTTCACCAGGGCAAGAAAACGTAATCAAAGCCCTCCTGACAAAGAGCCATCCAGCCATAGATTTGAAAGGGACCCCTAAAGAAGGACAATTATATGTTGCATGTTCCAGAGTAGGCAAATCAGACAAAGAAGAAGCAAGAAATACTGTTTACCCACAAGCATAAAGAAATTACATAGATTAGAAGCCAACACTTTCTCATTACTTTATTTTCCAGATCACCAGGTTGGGCCACAGCAACGCGTGGCAGGGGCTGGCTAGTAAGAGATAAGACCATCAGATAGTGAGTAAAATAGGGGTTTTTTTTGTTTCTTAGTCTAGTGCAGGTATGGACAAACTTCGGCCCTCCAGGTGTTTTGGAATTCAACTCCCACAATTCCTAGCAGCTTACCGGCTGTTAGGAATTGTGGGAGATGCAGTCCAAAACACCTGGAGGGCCGAAGTTTGCCCGTGCCTGGTTTTGTGTGTTGATAGACGTTTTGTTTTTGTTCCTGTGCTTTGATGTAGGTAGTTGTATTAACTAGAATGTAGTTGTGTAGTTTTAGCATTACAGATCACAAAATATTGATTTTTTTGGATTATGACAAACTTTTAATTTTTAATAAAAAGTTACTTTTAAAAAGCAAAGAAACATCTAGCAGGAGATTGGGAGACTATGACAGACAAAAGAGGAGTTTGTCTGTGAATTGAATAAATAAATTAGTAAGGGAGAGCCAGTAGGACACTTACACCGCACAATCAAGCGGGCACTGCTCCTTGCTGCTGGAGAGATGCCATTGTCCACTTGGCATTCATAGAGTCCAGCATGTGTCCGTTGTGCCTCTTTGACCCTCAGTTGTCCTGTTAGCCCTTCTGAGAGAACTTCAATGCCAAGGTCTTCCAAGCTTTGCTCCAAATCAGCCTGCAAGAGATGCAGAGATACATCCTATATGAGTACAATTCAGAATCCAGACAAGACAGAGATACTCCTGGTCAGTCGTAAGGCCAAACAGGGTATAGGGTTACAGCCTGTGCTGGATGGGGTTACACTCCCCATGAAGACACAGGTTCACAGCTTGGGAATTCAACTAAATTCATCACTGAGTCTGGAACCCCAAGTTTTGGAGGTGGCCAGGGGAGCATTACACAATTAAAACTTGTGCGCCAGTTGTGTTCGTACCTTGAGAAGCCAGACTTGGCCATGGTAGTCCACACTCTCGCTACATCTTGAATAGACTACTGCAATGCGCTCTACATGGGGCTGGCTCTGAAGACGGTTCAGAGCTCCAAGTAGTCCAATGAGAGGCAGCCAGATTCCTTACTGGAGCGATGTACTGGGAATGCACAACCCCCCTGTTACATCAGCTCCACTAGCTGCCAGTTTGCTACTGAGCTCAGTTCAAAGTGCTTCCTTGGCCTATAAAGCCCTAAAAAGCTTTGGTCCAACTTACCTGTCTGAACGCATCTCCCCTTGTGAGCCAAATAGAGGTTTACGAACTGCTGGGGAAGCCCTGCTCTTGGTCTCACCCCCTTCGCAAGTCCCACTGGTGGGGATGAGAGACAGGGCCTTCTCAGTGGTGGCCTCCCGGCTATGGAACTTCCTCTCCAGTGACATCAGGCTAGCCCCAATCCCTCCTAGTTTTTAGAAAAAAAGCTAAAGACCTGGCTCTGTATGCAGGCATTTGGAGAGTAGGATAACACAGACTGAGACCTCAACAGTTTGAATAGTGACTATGGATAAATCTATAAGCATAGAAATCAAGATTCTGCAGTTTGTATGTTTTAATCTGTTTAAATGTTTTATGCATTGAGTTGTTTATATATTTTAACTGTTTTGTAGTTTGATATGGCTTGTTTTATTGTTGTGTCTATGTTGCAACATTGAATTTTTGCCAGTTAGTAAGCCGCTTTGAGTCTCCTTCGGGGTGAGAAAGGCGGGGTATAAATAAAGTAAATCAGTAAATAAATAATAGCACAAAGAACTAGAGTTTCTTAGGTGAGTGGGAGAGGAATACAAAGGCTTTCCTTCCAATAACTAGAGGTCATAGAAAGAAAATATAACATACTGATGACAAGGTTGAAGTGAAGACATGAGCAGACAGAAGAATCAGTTAGTTGCCAATCTGCTTCCCTTTCACATGCATTCACATACAAAGTGGAGTCCACGACATGCGAGTGGGGAGAAAAGCAAATCACAGACCACTTACTACAATGCAACCTGAGCCCGGCCACATGTACAATGGAAGACCTCACAGCAACACCCAATTTCTGATCAAAGGACATTTAGCATAATCCTAAATTCTTTTTTTTAACGTTGTGTTTTTAAATGCATTGTAACTGTACCCCCAACTTGCTTCTGACATGATAAATAAACCCCAAATTCCATTCCATCCCATTTCTGTATTACTCTGAGTCTATAGAAAAATTGTCACATCTAACATGGCCATTTTTATGTGATAGTCCACATTTCTGAAAGTCTTTGCCCCACAGCATGTTGGAAATAGCAATCTTCCAAGCCTCCACTGTTACTGTCTATATGTATTATAATTGTTAACCTATATTGTATGTACATTTTAGTTTACTAATTTGACTGTACCTCTTTGGTGTGGGAGGGGCTTCAGACACAGGACTGCATATTTGTTATATGGTATGCTTTTAGACCTCAATGGAGGTGGATGCAGTTTGTCTCTTTCAGGCTTCAGTGAGTACAATTATACAGTTTGGACTATATCCATATGTTTAAAAGACATTGGACTATGTTGAATATATACAAAAAGTTTGTTAGTAAATTTGATATGTTATTTTTTAAAGAAAACTACTTTGTTTTTGTTTTTTTTATCTCTGAGTTGCATATTTTAACTAAGAGGTTTCAAGGGAATGTATATTTTGGGGGGGCAATTGGTAGCCATAACTTCAACTTCAAAGAAACAACCATCCTCTGCTATCCAAATATATTTTTGTAGTGGCATGTCTTTAAACTGTCCGTTTAAAGGCATGGTTCTTCAGTTTAACAGCTGAGTTACCTGTGTGCCATTACATGAATGCTTATGAATATCACTTGTGCAAATAGTTGACTTCTAACAATTGATTGATTGATTGATTTACAATATTTATATTCCGCCCTTCTCACCCTGCAGGGGACTCAGGGCAGATTACATATACATGGCAAACATTCAATGCCACAGGCGCACAACATATATAGACAGACACACAGAGTCTATTTAACATTCCAGCTTTTTCATGAGGGTATTCTGGCCACCAGGGGAGCTATCGCTTCACATCCATTTGTGACACTAATGAAGTACTTCCTCATTCTTTGCATGCTTGCTGGAGATTTTTATGGTGTCTTAAATTAGCCTCCCCGCATAAGCAGTACCTAAATTTCCTACTTGACAAATGCAACTGTCTTTCGGGCAGCAAAGGTCGACAGCAAGCTACACAAATTGGTTGGAAGCTCACTCTGACCCAGGCTGGCTTTGAACTTGTGACCTTTTGGTCAGTAGTGATCTTAATGCAGCTGACTCCAGCCAGCAGCTAACAAGGTCATGCTCTTCTTGACTCGTGGTTTTCAAAAGGTGGTCTCCACATGTTCAGGGAGATTCACATTTGCCAAACAGATGTGACATCATTTTTACCTTTTGAATAACATTATGGTGCACTTATTTCCATTAGGTTATGGAATTTCCAATAGAGCATGCCACTTTAAATGCTCTTTTTAAATCCAGAACGCCAACAAAAAAAATGGGGGAAATGTCACTGAAAGATAACTGTACGTTCCAATCCATGCATCAATTTCAGACCACATTCCTCGCAGTTGTTTGAGCTGATTAATCATGCCACTCCTGTTTGTGCAGCTACTTCCAACAGGACTAGTTTACTGCACCTTGCCTTTCGTCATTGAGAAGCTCCCTCTGCATTGAAAAGCTCTCCAGCTTACTCTTTAGCATTCAGAACCTCTTGCTCATTTTGGGAAGCACTGGCTCTTCCTCGGCTTCACTCAACTGTTCTCAGGCATTTTTGGAACACTCATATAAGCATCCCACGCACCTCCCTGCTGAGGCATTTTGGGCAAATTCCTGCTTGCTCATGTCTAAATTCGACCTGCATCTGTAGAAGGACAGAGGTATCTTTGCGTGCTTGGAGTTTTAATGTGTGGATGAGACTTTGGCTCACAACATAGTGATACCCGACCTCCTCAAGGTTTCCCACCCTTAATTTATAAAGACATATTGAACAAAAACAAAAGGATAGCCAGCTACTGCCAAGTTCTGAAGACCATAAAAACCACATCCTCAAAGCCCCACAAGACTCCTTCATGCTAGCTACAAGCAAAAAAAAATTCCTGTGTTCTGTTGTTTTCACCGGCTATAATCAAACTTTTTTTTTCTCCAGCTCAACCAAGCAAATAAAGTGTAGTAGCTAGGAGCAACCAGTCATAAAAAAGCCATTAAAATAAGCATTTTCTAGGTATTAAAGAAACATTTTAGCTATTAAACTATACAAGAGCTTGCAGAAAAGGTCATCTTGCTTTGCATGGACACATTATATCAGTTTAATTGAGAAAAGGCTCGGTTCTTGGTAGATGCAAAAGTATAAGAAACTGATTAGAGATAGAATGAATGTCTTTTGCTTTGTCCTCTGAACAAATCAATCATCTTACCAGCCACCTCCACTGAAACATGCCCAAGGGTGCAGGGTTGGCATCCGCCTGGCACACAATCTCTGCTGAGCCCCCCAAGTCCACAAAGGTTGGGTCTCCAATGCTGCGAATGGATGGGGCATCTATGCAAAGGAAAAGGATACATCAAGTACCAGCACGCCATGCCCCAAGGAACATTGATTTTGAAGCAATGCCAAGAGATATAATGCTGCAGAACACAAGCCAATCTGTAGGAATTGTGTAGTCTAACTTTAAGAAGGGAAGAACCAAAGCCAAAAAAGGTACATAAGAGCTGTGAAGAGGAAAACATATCTGGATCATGCTTATCCAATCACAGTCCCTGATGGGTATTTGGTACTATAATCTATATAAATAAAAAATGTTGTGTTCGTTTGTGGGATTAACATAACTCAAAAACCACTGGACGAATTGACAACAAATTTGGACACAATACATATATCAGGTCAACAAGTGACCATCACTCATAAAAACATTGAAAAACACAGCAGAAGAGACTTTAAAAACAAAAAACCAAAAGAAATTACAACACATGCGCAAAACCACATATATATATATACGCAAACACACATATATACACATATACACAAATATATACACACACAAAGCACATATACACAGACTGGGCCACAGCAACACATGGCAGGGGGATAGTAATATAATAATAATAATAATAATAATAATAATAATAATAATAATAATAGAAACAACTAGAAAACCTGACACGATATGAGGATTTAAAAATGGAACTGCAAAGACTCTGGCACAAGACAGTAAATGTGGTCCCAATGGTGATCGGGACACTGGGCGCAGTGCCTAAAGACCTTGGTCTGTACTTAAACACAATCAGCGCTGGCAAAATTACCATCTGCCAGCTGCAGAAGGCCACCTTACTGGGATCTGCACGCATTATTTGCCGATACATCACACAGTCCTAGACATTTGGGAAATGTGAGCCAATACAACAGACAGCAGAGTGATCTTGTCTGCTGTGGACTCATCTTGTTGTGTTTCAAATAATAACAACAACAACAACAACAACAACTTTATTTTTCTACCCTGCCTCCATCTTTCCAAAGGGACTCAGGGAGGCTTACTTGGGGACACGTCCGATCAACATGGTTATAATATAGTACATTAAAATATATAAACAACAACATAAAACAAAATTAAAAACAACATTATAACAAAATATAAAAGCAAAACATCAAACCAATAACCAATAAGCTCTGCAATAATAATCAGTTTCTGGGCACAGGTGGGCAGACTGGTGCAAAAACAATTGTGAGGATAGCACTGATGGATAAAGTGCATAGGTCATGTCAGAAGTAGAGATAGTAAAAGGTAAAGATTTTCCCCTGACATTAAGTCCAGTTGTGTCCAACTCTGGGGCTAGTACTCATCTCCATTTCTAAGCCAAAGAGCCAGTGTTGTCCATAGACACCTCCAAGATCATGTGGCCAGCATGACTTCATGGAGCGCTGTTACCTTCCCGCCGGAGCAGTACCTATTGATCTACTCGCATTTGCATGTTTTTGAACTCCTAGGTTGGCAGAAGCTGGGGCTAACAGCAGGAGCTCATGCCACTCCCTGAATTCAAACCTGTGACTTTTCGGTCAGCAAGTTCAGCAGCTCAGTGTTTTAACCCACTGCACAACCGGGGGCTCCAATAGAGACAGAGCGCAGTATAAGATAGAGTATTATAACTTTGGGTACAGAACAATAGCAAAGTGTGAGGACAAGATTTTGGGTCCTAATTGGGGCCAAGCTATCTGGGGGATTGTCTCCTACAATTCCCATCATCCCTTGTTGGGGAGGGCACCACACTGGAAATGCTGAAAGAGTTCTTCCTCAATTTCCAAGTGCTTTGGACTATAATTCCATCAGCTTTGGTCATTAGGTATGCCAAGGACAATGGGATTGATAGTCAAAATCATTTGGAGAGACCCAGGTGGTGGTGGTAGTGTTGGGGAGTCTGGACTGATCCACTTCTTATCCATTGGGTCTGTATCAGAGTTGGCAAAGCACTTTCCTTTAAAATATTGTTGAACTAAATCTCCCATCAGCCAGCATAGCCAATAGTGAGAAAGAGTGGGTCCAACTGCAATCCAACTATAGCTGGAGGACAGTCCTTTGCTCTTCCTTGTCTTCCTTGTCTACATGGAAATCAAGATAAGACTTCTGACTTTTTCCCCATTTGTTACTCACATTGCACATCCAAAGTGATTGTTGTCTCATTGTGCCCTTCTGCGTTCTCACAGTGGATCTTGTATTTTCCAGCATCAGCTCGGGTCACGTTCCAGATCTCCAGAGAGCCACCATCCCGCAGGTGGTACCGTGGGGAACCCTCTATGGAAGACAGAGCTAATCAATCTCTTTTTTTTATAAAAGTTGAGTTTAAACTATAATTATAACAAAACGAAGCAGAAAAAAGAAAAAAAGGAATGAGGAAGCACATAGGATATGTATCAGTGGTTCCCAACCTGTGGTCCGTGGACCACTAGTGGTCCACAAGAACTAAAATATGGTCTGTGGCCTCACCATTACTACACTGGGTCGTTGTGAGTTTTCCTGGCTGTGTGGCCATGTTCCAGAAGCATTCTCTCCTGACATTTCACCCACATCTATAGCAGGCATCCTCAGAGGTTGAGGGGATCTTTTGGAAACTAAGTAAGTGGGGTTTATATATCTGTGGAATGTCCAGGGTGAGAGAAAAAACTCTTGTCTGCTTGAGCTACATGTGAATTTTGCAATTTGCCACCTTGATTAGCATTAATGGCCTGCAGTTTTAAGGCCTGGCTGGTAAGCTGCCTGGAGACATCCTTCGTTGGGAGGTGTTAGCTGGCCCTGATGGATTCTTGTCTGGAATTCTCCTACTTGAATGAATGTTTGCCACGTATGTTGTGCTCCGCCCCGAGTCCCCTTCAGGGTGAGAAGGGTGGAATATAAATGTTTTAAATACATACATACATACATACATACATACATACATACATACATACATAATATTTTTGAGTCTTGCTCTTTATTTTCTGTTCTGATTTTAGAGGGTTTTTTTAAAATACTGGTAGCATATTATTTGAGAACACAGAAATGCTGCACCACTCTAACAACTACCATGTCAGATTACACAGAGAAGCCATTGAAATCCACAAGCATGTGGATAATTTCAACAGAAAGGAGTAGACCGTGAATATGAACAAAATCTGACTACCAGTAGGGGAATTCCAGACAAGAAACAATCAGGGCCACCTAACACCTCCCATCAAAGGATTCCTCCAGGCAGCTACCAGCCAGGCCTTGAAACTGCAGGTCAGTAATGTGGGAGAAACGTCAGGAGAGAATGCTACTTGAACACAGCCATACAGCCCAGAAAACTCACAACAACTCAGTGATTCCAGCCGTGAAAGCCTTTGACAACACATTACTACACTGTTGCAATGAGAGTAGTTGGTCTTGCAAAACCCTCTTATAGTGTCGAGGCTTATTAAATATGGTTTTCTGTGAGTGACTACTGGATGGCATATGTTCTGTACCAGAAACTAGAGCTGATGTAGTCTGTCCAATGCAATTTTCTGAATCAGTACCTCAAATAACCAAAGCTAATTTAAAGTGGACCAAAAACTGATTCATAACCCTTTTGGTATTAATGTTGGGAGTATGGGGCCTGGTCAGAGTAGTCCCTGGTCAAGTGGTCCCTGGTCAAAAAAAAGGTCGGGGACCACTGAGATAGATAGATGGATGGATGGCTGGATGGATGGATAGATGGGTGTATAGATGGGTGTATAGATGGGTGGATAGATGGATAGATGGATAGGTGGATAGGTGGATGGATAGATGGATGGATGGATGGATGGATGGATGGATGGATGGATGGATGGATGGATGGATAGATGGGTGGATAGATGGGTGGATAGATTGATAGGTGGATAGGTGGATGGATGGATGGATGGAAGGATGGATGGACAGAAGGATGGATGGATGGATGGATGGATAGAAGGATGGATGGATAGAAGGATGGATGGATGGATGGATGGATGGATGGATGGATGGATGGATGGATAGAAAGATGGATGGATGGATGGATGGATAGAAGGATGGATAGACATAAACTAGGCATATACATTTACCAGGGCATACATATTTTAATACATTTTTCCATACATATACATATACATACATACATACATACATACATACATACATATATATATATATATATATATATATATATATATATAAAATACACAGTCACATATTTTAAGCAGCAATGAATGTTTATCTTCCCAATCTTGGCATTTAAGTCTTTCAACAACAGTAAAAGCTTACAGAATTCAACGATGTTGACCAGAGCTAATCAGTCCTAACAAAAACCATGGCAAAAACAAACGCATGTTGGCCAGAGGGACAGAGCAACATGCTGGCAGACAGCCAACACGTATCCAAGACATTTCTGCACCAGAGGTGACTTGTTTCAGCTTCACCTCAAAGTGTGACAAAGCCCCACAGTATCCTTTGCTAGGCATGCCCCTTATTTCAAGAGTTCAGTTAACAGTATGATGCCTTAATCTGCAGTCTGCAAGCCTCTTGCTTGCACTGTACAAAGCACAAAGATTCCTTCTGATTCCTGCCACACTGAAGCAGCAGAACAGAGCTGAAAGCAAGGTTCAAGTGCGGCAATATCAAACAGCTTCAGATGTATATTTTTACTCCATTCCAAGTCTTACAGTTAGGGTGATGATGTGAAAAGTAGAACAGGGCTCCTGTAAATTTGAGTCAGGCCAGCTACACCTGCCAAAATCCTGCTCTGTGCACAACTTCTGCCTTTAGAGCTTGGAAAGCATCATTGCGACTTTCATTGTCCCTGTTCCTCCATCAACAGCTGTCTAAAGCTCTGTGACTCAAAGTAGTGGTTTGTAGGCCAGTGCTGATTCCCAAGCCATCTGTGGCTAGTCCCTGGAAAGCTTCCAGGGAAGAAAGAAAAAATGGTAACAGACAGACACAAACATGGTACTCATCTCTGGAACTCTGCAGGGAAAGACTTGTCACTCCCTCAACTTAGATGGCTTAAGAAGAATTGATCTCAATCACCCCAGTTGCTTCATGGCTCTATCCTTGCTGTCCCTTAGGGATGGAACTATCTCTAAACACAAGAGTGGGCAGAAGATTTATTTATTTACAGTATTTATATTCTGCCTTTCTCACCCTGCAGGGGATTCAGGGAGGATTACAATGCACGTATACATGGCAAACATTCAATGCCATTATATATAATATATATACACAGACACAGAGGCAATTTAACATTCCAGTTTTCCGGCTTCAGGAGGATATGCTCAATTCCGGCCACAGGGGGAGTTGCCACTTCACTGTCCACTTGTGACACCGAGTCCTTGATAGAGTACTTCCTCATTCTTACACACACTGCTGGAAGGTTTTATGGTGCCATAAATTAGTTAAATTAGTCTCCCCACATAAAGCAGTACACCTAAATTTTCTACTTGACAGATGCAACTGTCTTTTGGGCTGCATAGGTCAACAGTAAGTGAGACTATTAATGGTCAGGAGCTCACTCTGACCTGGGCCAGCTTCAAACTCATGACTTCTTGGTCAGTAGTCATTTAATGCAGCTGACTACTTACTAGCTGTGTCACAGCCCCATCCCCACCTAAGATACATACCTATATAATATGCAATATATCAGCAAGGACTTCATTCTTGTTTTTTTTAAGTCAAGTTAAAAAGCCATGGGTTTTTTCTCCATTTGAATCAGGTTTTTTTTAGAAAGATACAATCCTAGCACAGAATTTAAGTGTCTTTATCTTACAATAGGTAAAAGGTAAAGGTAGTCCCCTGACATTAAGTCCAGTCATGTCTGACTCTGGGGTGTGGTGCTCATCTCAATTTCTAAGCTGAAGAGCCAGCGTTGTCCGTAGACACCTCCAAGGTCATGTGGACGGCATGACTGCATGGAGCGCCGTTCTTACAATAGGTTCTCACAAATAGATCCCAACAATAATAATATAGGTAGAGCACACAAACCTGACATCCTCTCACCCACGACTTATCAACACTCACCTTTCCTCTAAATCCTGGGGACCCTCTGAAACACATATCTCACTGCCCATTGAAACCAAGCCACAATGGTGTCACTGAGTGGAAAGTGTATACTGCCCATTTGCCTCTTCCTCTGCTCCTTCTGTCAGCTTCCACATGTGGAAGGCCCAGGCTGTAGCACAGCTAATTAATCGCCACCACAATAGATCACTGCCGACTGGAAGGCGGCAAGGTCAAAGCCCAAGTCGGATTGAGCACCTGATCATTAGCCTAAGCTCACTGTCCACCTAAGCAGTTTGGAAACAGCTGAGCTGTGAGTAGAGAAATTAGACACCACTTTATCGGGGAGGTATTTTATGACATCATAAAAAATGCTGGTGATCAAAGAACAAGGAGGGAAATTCTACAATCAAAAAGGGCTCATTGTCACAGCAGATGGAGTGACAGCACCACCCTGTGGTTGGAATCAAGCATAACCTCCAGGCGCCAAAGTTGGAAAATGCCGAAATACCTCTATCTGTCTGTCTGTGTTGTATGTCTAAAAATGGCATTTAATGTTTGTCATGTATGTGTGCATTGTGATCCACCTGAGTCCCCTTCAGGGTGAGAAGGGAGGAATACAGATACTGTAAATAAATAAATAAATGTCCAAAGCCAAATTAGACTAGATCCTAAATATACTTTAGACTAGATCTTAAATATGTTTTGAGTGCCCAGTGGCACATTGGGTTAAACTGCTGAGCTGCTGAACTTGTTGACCAAAAGGTCACAGGTTCGAATCCGGGGAGTGACATGAGCTCCCGCTGTCAGCCCCAGCTTCTGTCAACCTAGCAGTTTGAAAACATGCAAATGTGAGTAGATCAATAGGAACCACTCTGGCAGGAAGGTAACGGCGCTCCATGCAGTCATGCTGGTCACATGACCTTGGAGATGTCTATGAACAACGCCGGCTCTTCAGCTTAGAAATAGAGATGAGCACCAACCCGTCAGACACAACTGGTCTTAATGTCAGGGGAAACCTTTACCTTTACTTATTTCCTACATGTGCAAATTAAATAACAGCCATGGGGGAAACTCTGATAAGAAAGCAAGTATGGAGATGGAAATTTAACTTTCTTCTCTATATACTGTAATCCTAAGGAAAATCACCCCTGTTCGTCTCCAGGGAATATCCTTCAAATGGGAAGTGTACAGCTTTCCAGATGTTACTGGCCTGCGAGTCCCATCTTTCATCCATAGATATACTGTCCAAGTCTGATAATAACTGCTCTCCAACTGCATCTAGATGACCACACTTTCCCCATCCTAGAAAAACAGCTTCAGAGAAGGAACTGTCTTCATTACAGTAGCAGGGGAAATCACATTTTCCACTCTGGAGAAATATTCCATTCCTTAGTTGCATTTCTAACAAACCTGAGCTCAAAGTGGCTTAGATGACTCTTTTCCTCTACATTTTATCCTCACCACAACACTATAAAGGTAGATCAGAGAGAAAAGGTGTTAGTGGCCCAATGTCTGGAGTGATTTTAGTGTGGCTTGGATCTTAAAACTCAGTCCAATCTAACCAACGTGCCATGTGCCACTCATTCCCTGCTTCTGCCTTGTGGAAGCTATATCCAATGGTTTTTAATAATGATGTGTAGGACTCACCTGTCAGAAATACCTCTCCCAGGAAGCTCCAGTGATAAGTGATCTCAGGAGGGCTGGCAGAGACCAGAAGAGGCAGCTGAACAGCCCCGTGCTCCACGGCGTGCACTATATGGACCTGCTCACTGGAAAACTCTGGTGGGACTGCATAAAGAAAAGAATTGAATTCTCTCCCACAAATCCCCATTCTGCTCCTTGCAGTCCAGGGGGGGTCTTGCGATGGGCACATGTCAGGTTGGTGCTAGAAGATTTCAAAGACCCAGGACTGCAAGAAGACATTCATGCAATATTATGGGTGTAGTGGAGCCAGAGCTCACAAAGTCATGAGGACAATTACACTACGAGGGTTGAATGAAAAGTAATACCTCCACCTTCGTTGCTTGGGTTTGGATGGGAATATTTTAATAAATCAAATGCAGAAATAATCCTTAGAATGTGCTCTTTAACTACCACTATTCACTTTTCCATATAATCACCAGACAATTGGATACATTTCTCCCAATGATGAACAAGATTTCTGAAGCTGTCACGGAAGAAGTCGACACTCTGTTTCAGCAACAGGTATCTCACAGTTCTCTCATTCTGGGACCCATCATGCACAGATCTTCCGATAGCTAAGCAAAGCAATAATGTGACCCACACATTCTTGTGAAATGCTGATTATGCTTGAAATGTCTCTCTGAGTGATATGACAATTGTCCTGAATCACTCTGTCAACCTTTTGCTTGTGAAACTCGGTGGTTGCTGTCACAGAACGTCCAATTCTTTGTCACACAAGTCAGATGTTCCCACCTCAACATCTTTAAACTTACTCACCCAACGACACACAGTACTCACATCAACACAATCACAATAAACAGTTTGCATTCTCTGATGAATCTCCTTTGGGGTGACACCTTCTGCTGTCAAGAATTCAATGACTGCATGTTGCTTATGTGGCATTGACCGATCGTCTGCGCAGGGTTCCATACTTCACACTTTAACAACACAATCGTTCAATGCTAAGGCTTCCTGCCAAAATGGAACTGTTGAGGAGAGTCTACTGAACAAGCTAGAACCTGCCGCATACCAGTACTGCCATCTGTTGAGGAGCTACGAAGGTGGAGGCATTACTTTTCATTCAACCCTCGTATCTGCCACATCATTAAGATTTCCCTCTTCCCCCAGAATTTAACTAACACAGTAAATAAAGAGGGGCACTTCCTAACCACAGGACATTGTTCTGATCTGTCTCATTTGTAATGCAAAGTATTTTCTTATGACTTCCTGAATGGATAATCAAGCCCCAATGGCTTTAGAAAAGACCAAATCCTGGTAGAGATGAGAAATGATAGAACTGGTTTGTTGATTTTGATCGTACTTTCTTCAAACAGATACTAATAATAATACACTTTATTTATATTCCGCTTTATGTACCTGGAGGGACTCAGAGCGGATTACAGTTTTACATATATAAGGCAAACATTCAATGCTTGTTTACACAGTAAACAATGACATACAAAACACATTGTTGTTGCTTATTCATTCAGTCACTTACGACCCTTCGTGACCTCATGGACAGAGCTCCCTGTCAGCCATCACCACCCCCAGCTCCTTCAGAGTCAAGCCAGTCACCATCCAGCCATCTTGCCCTTGGTTGGCCCCTCTTCCTTTTTCCTTCCTTTACCCCCAGCATCATTGTCTTCTCTAAGCTTTCTTGTCTTCTCATTATGTGGCCAAAGTACTTCATCTTTGCCTCTAATATCCTTCCCTCCAGTGAGCAGCCAGACATTATTTCCTGGAGTATGGACTGGTTGGATCATCTTGCGGTCCACGGCACTCTCAGAATTTTCTTCCAACACCACAGTTCAAAAGCATCTATCTTCCTTTGCTCAGCCTTCCTGATGATCCAGCTCTCACATCGATAGGTTACTATGGGGAATACCATTGCTTTAACTATGTGGATCTTCGTTGCCAGCTTTTGCACCTTCTTCTTTCACCTTGGTTAGAAGGCTCCTCAGCTCCTCCTTGCTGTCAGCCATCAAAATGGTATCACCTACATATCTAAGGTTGTTAATGTTTCTTCCAGCATTTTTAACCGCAGTCTTGCATTTGTCAAGCCCCGCACATTGCATGATGTGTTCTGCATACAAGTTGAATAAATTGGTTGAGAGTATACAATCCTGCCATACGCCTTTCCCAATCTTGAACCAGTCTATTGTTGAAGATTGGGAAAGGCGTATGGCAGAGTTGTATACTCTCACCCAAAGTACAATACACAGACAGAAGTAAAGGCCTTTCCTTCCATCTCCGGCTTCTTGTGGCGAAGCTCAACTCAGCCATGGGGTGGTGCTCTTGTTCCATTTTTCCACATCAATAGACTTCTCCAATAGTGTTGCTGGCATGTCTGCATGGGATGCCCTTTTACCTCCCCACCAAGGTGGTACGTATTGATCTGCTCACATTACATGCTTTCAAACTGCTAGGTAAGCAAAAGCTAGGGCTGACAGACGGGAGCTCACCCCGACTCGCGGCTTCGAACAGCTAACTCTCCAGTCAGCAGATTTCCTGCAGCTAGCAGTTTAGCCCACTGTGCTACTGCAGCCCTAATGGCAATTCAATGAATGAGAGAGATTTTATAGTGACACTTTGCTTTAGGTTTCTCTTGAAAGACCATTAATATCTATCAGGCCATCTGGTTGCATTCCTGGATTCTTCAAAAGCTATAGATGTTGAATGACAACAACAAAAGAAGGTTGGAGCCTTCATAAACTTCTTGTAGACTTCCAGAAGTATCCGGTTATCCAGGGGTTGGATGAAGAATCTATGGCATCTTTAACACATGTTCCTGGACACACTACAGAAGCTAAGCAAGGCCAGATCTGGTTAACATTTGAATTGAAGTCCATAAGGGATGACTAGGGATCTCCATGTAGAGCTAGGAAATGATCTTGCATGAAGCTTTGAAGAGCCACTTCTACTCATAGTTCACAATACTGACCTAGATGGACCAAAAGACCTGACAATGTGTGGTAATTTCCCAAGTGCCTATGAGTCTAGTGTGGTGTGATTTGATCTTAAAAGATTTCTTTTACTTACATAAGACAGTGAGTTGGTGGAAGGAATTCACACCTTCAGAGAGAACTGAGCTGAATGCATGACATTCCACCCTCTTCCCATGGTCTGCAGATGATACCCTCAGAGCGACTCTCCCAGAAGTGGAGAAACCACTGTATTCTGCTTTCTTCTGTCCTAAATTAGTTGCATCCAATCTGAAAAAGAAGGAACAAGAACAATGAAATTTGACATTTTTGGCAGAGGGATAATAAATGATTTTCACATACCTCACCTGAGGAATCCTTAAACTCAAGGAAGAGTAGTGTAGTGGTTCAGGCAGAGGAGAGGTCACTTGGGGTGCTCCAGAGTACTGCAACTCCCATTAGACCCAGTTAACTCGTAGTGAGAAATTAAAGAAGTTGCAGTATAGCAATCTCTAGAGCACCATAAGATGCACTCTCCCCCACTCTCTGTGAGATTTGGAAGACCAGAATTCATGATACCACTTGGCCATGAAAATCATTGGGTCTATCTTTTTCTCTTACACACACGCAGCACACTGCATATCCATCCTAACTTAAGTATTAAAAAGACAGAATTGAAACAGAAGGAATAACATATGGTTGTTTGAGATCCCCAGAAAAAAAAGACATGATATCAATACAATGAATAAAAACATTCCCACAACTTGCTAAGTTAAGCCAATAGTATTTCAATAATATTTTCTCATCTTGCCAATGTGATGCACTGTGTTTAAGGTTTAGCCAGCATATTCTTGGCAAGGGCAATGAGGAATGAGAGACATGCTGGATGGCAGCGTTGCCCCTTGGCCACTGTGCTATGCTTCCTTTCAAACAGGATGTAATGAAGACACAGTAGAAAAATAATACAGAGAAGAAATGGGAGTCGTCCAGTTATGTGGTTAATAGTTTCATTCTTGAACTGGGGAAAACAGGTTCAAATCCCACATGGTAACAATGCATCAAGCTAGTTCTGTGGTTCACAACTCATGGGCCACAGCCCACTGGTGGACTGCAAGACCTAAAATAAGGTCCGTGGCTGGGGGTATGTGCCACCATTGGAGGAGAGAGAGGAGAGGGAGAGAAGGAGGCAAGCGCTGTTCCTCTTGCCCTCTTGCAGCTTCCCCAGTGCCATTGGAGTGGGGAGAGAGAGGAGGAGGAGAGGGAGAGAAGGAAGGAAGGAAGCCATTGTGCTTGTCAGTGCTTTCTCAGCCTTAGGAGGCTTCCCAGACCAGGGTGGAGAAGACTCACTTGGTGGCACATATAAGGGAGTGGGAGAGGAGAGTCCCACAAAGTTGTTGTTGTTGTTGTTATTATTATTATTATTATTATTATTATTATTATTATTATTATTATTATTATTTTATTTTTATGCAATTTTCCTTTACAGTGAAAGAGGGAGAACAATCATTGTGATAGAAAGTTATGAGGTTTAGACAGGTCGTGAAGGGTAGAATATAGAGGTAAGGAGGGGTAAGGAGGGTGAGGGAGTGGAGAAGGAGGGGTGAAGGGAAGATAGGGTAGGGGGATACAGGTAAGACGAATGTGTATGTTACTTCCGTTCAGTCCACAGAGGAGAGATTATCTCGCTTCATTATTGTTTTTTCCTGTTCCTTGTTACTCTTATTCTTCTTACCCATAGTCCTTTATATGTCCAGTTTGAATTTGTTTTTCAAATATTCTTCCATGTGATTCCAATTTATTTGTTTAGTCTTGCTGAATTCTTCTAGTTGGCTCAATAGTCTATCACAATTCCTGAAATCAATTATCTTCTTTATCCAATCTTCATTGGTTGGTATTTCTTTACTTTTCCATTTTTGTGCTATCAGTATTTTGGCCGCCGACAATAAGTAAAACAAAAAATTTTCTTCATTATTCTTTAGGCCTAAATCTGTTATGTTCAATAAGTAATATTCAGGTTTGATATCGAACTTCGTTTTTGATAATACTTTGTGTGTGTTTGTGAACCGTCATCCAGAATTTTTTAATCATCTTGCAGTTCCAATACAGATGAAAATAGGTTCCAGTTTCTTTTCCACACTTCCAACACTGCGTGTTATGATTTTTGCTAAATTTTGCCAATTGGACAGGTGTCAAATGCCATCTATAGAAAACTTTGTACCAATTCTCTACTATACCCATGGCTCTTGTATATTTTAGCTTGACCTTCCATACTTGTTCCCATTCGCTTAGTAGTATAGTGTGGTCTATATCCCTGGCCCACTTGACCATGTTTTCTTTTACTACTTCCTTTTCGTTACTCCATTCTAACAAGTTTCGATATAAAATTCTGATCAGCTTCTTGTCTTTTTACATAATTGTATCCCAACATGTGTCCTTTTCACTAAATCCCACTTTTAAATCCGCCTTTAAAGTTTCTTTAATTTGTATATATTGTAGCCAATTTAGTTCTTTATCCTCCCTCTTTAGTTCTTCCATAGACCTCAAATGCCATTCATTGTTAGTTTTGACCAATAGTTGCCTGTGTTTTCTCATGGTCTTTGGAGACTTCTCTGACTCCCCCCATGACCCCCCCCCCCCAGGGGTCATGACCCTCAAGTTGAGAAATGCTGCCCTAGATGAAAACTGGAATGCAGATGTGGCCAAGCAAGATGCGGGTCTTTTAAATATTTCTGGAAATTGGTATTGTCGATATTGCATGGTGCACCCACTGAATCTCTCTCTTTTATTGTAGCCAGCAATTTCTCTGTGCCTCCAAGGCCTTGCCGATGAGAGCGTTCTCCCCAATCATTATTATTATTATTATTATTATTATTATTATTATTATTATTATCTCCCATCGTCACATATCAGTTGTAATGGGAAAGCAGCCCTTTTAAGACCCTGTTTAGTCCCCCAAAGCTGCTATTATTATTATTATTATTATTATTATTATTATTATTAGCTCCCATTGCCAAACACAAGAGTGGTAATGGGAAAGCAGCCCTTTGTAAGACCCTGTCTAGTCCCCCAAAGCTATTGCTATTATTATTATTATTATTATTATTATTATTTATTACTAAAGCTGTTAGGGACTCGCACTCTGCTTTTGAATTTTTTTCAACCTCATCCTCCTCCCTTTCTTTTTTTTTACACAAACACTAACTAAATTGAAGGATAATAACACAGCCCAACCAAAAACATTTTTTTTCTTGGTGTCTTCATTTTTATGCCTATTCCTGGGGTTATTTGGGGTGCTGATTTGGAAAATTGCATTGGATAGACCATATCAGCTCTAGATTATTAAATATGGTTTTCTGTGGGGGAGCAGTTGGTGACTACTGGATGGCATATGTTCTGTATCAGAAACTAGAGCTGATGTTGTCTATCCAATGCAATTTTCCGAATCAGCACCCCAAATAACCAAACCGAATGTAAAGTTGACCAAAAACTGATTTGTAACCCTTTTGGTACTAATGTTGGAGAGTGGTCCTGGTCAAGTGGTCCTTGGTTTAAAAAAAAGGTTGGGAATCACTGAGCTAGTCACTGTCAGCCAAACCTATCATACAAGATTGTTATGAAGATAAAATCAGAGAAGGAAGGACCATGCCCATTGCTCTGAGTACCTTGGAAGACATGCTGAACCCAACTATTTCTAAGATGCAAGATCACTGCATGATAGTAGTCTTTTTTGGAGGAATATCCACCACACAAAGAAGAGAGAGGGAGGGCATTAGGCCTGAAGATGCCTAAATGTTGCAAAACTATACTCTTTTAAAAGAAATCTTAAGACAGGAAAATTCAGATGGTGGGGATAGAAGGCAAAAGCAGTGCTGAATGACTATTCGGGAGAGAGGGACTAGTATATAATACAGAGCTTTGAAGAGTGATTATTTTGGAATACAGCATCCAAAATCCCACCAGCCCTGCTATCTATGGGATTCTGGGAGTTGTCATCCAAAAAAGCCAATATTCTTGCTCTGTTCTTGGGATATAGCCACAACTGTTAACCATGATGAGTGAATAAAATTGCTATATATACCTACTAGATATTGGAGAGAGAAACTGGGAAGACATTGCCTTTCTGCCCCACTGCGTGTTAACTTATTCAACAGGGACTGCCTCCTTGCTGTCAAAAACAAGATGCTGGATAGACTCGATGTCAGTCCAGACTGATTCAAGTGTACAGTTCTTCTGTTGCTATGAAAGCCTGTGGCTGGGGAGCTCAGAGGCCTGTGGGGTCAGGACTGAGGGACAGTGATGGTGATATACACAGACAACTGAGACTGGTCTGTTCGGAGATTGCTTTCATATATGGTTATTTGCAGCAAATTGATTTTTTATGACATTGCAAGGGGATGCACTGAAGGGAGAGCCAGACCATATTCACCCTCAAGCCCCTCACTCCAGAAATGGACCCCTGAACTTCAGTAGCAAACATGAAAGGTTGGGATAAGCTGAAAAAAGCTTGCTTTTTTGTTTCTCAAATCAACAATGATCCAGGAAAGCCCTACTTGTTTACTTTTAAGTGTTTGCAACCAGACTTGGGGGGGGGGTGTAATGGAGGTGGGGTGGTCCACACTAAGACTCATGGAAGAGATAATGGCCCATTCATGTATTGTATTGGGAGATGCAGGTTCATTTTGAGTCACAAAGTGTTGGAGGAAGCAACCTTCTCAAGCCTCCTTTATATGATTTTTGTCTGTTTTATAATGTGTTTTATAACCTGAAGTATATGTCTTATTTGATTTGCAGTTTCCTTATCTCTATATACCTAAAGCAGTGGGAGGGGCTGCAGATCACTGACAGTTTAGAATGTTTGTAGCGGGGGGGGGGGCTTGAGGGGGCTTCAGCCCCCCCCCCCCCGAAATTCTCATGGTGGTTCGCGAAAAGGCCTTACTGGTGCATTATTTAAACTGTTATGTTTATTCATATCATGATCTGATCACCATACTCAATATATCCCATATGCATGGGGTATTGGGGTAATGATACAAAAGGTTTGCTAGGCTAGACCCTCTTTCACTCAGACTCAGCCCCCCCAGAAACGAAATCCTGGCTACGGGCCTGCCCCCGAAACGAAATCCTGGCTACGGGCCATACATAGGCGAAACGTCAGGAGAAAATGCCTTTAGAACAGCGTTTCTCAACCTGGGGGTCGGGACCCCTGGGGGGGTCGCGAGGGGACTTCAGAGGGGTCACTGAAGACCATCAGAAAACACATATTTCTGATGGTCTTCGGAACCCCTTTGGCA